GCAGGGCGTTTGTGTGTGCCACGCCCACCTGGCGAAAATGCAAATTGCAGAATACAAAATGCAAATAAACATAAATGGAGCCAACCGCAGCTGCAATACGTTGAAACAAACAAAGTGATCTAATGGAGAGTACTCGACTAGCAAATACCCTGAACAGCAATTTGATGACAAAGTTGAACAAGTGCCATTAAATATATATACATATATATATATTTGGTCGACTTTTGCGTGTTACAAAAACATTTGCTAATGGTCTTTTGATGACAAAAAATTGTCATGTTGACACAGTGTGTTGCATGTGCTGCAGCTAACTGATGACCTGTCTCGCACCTATTGCCATGGTTTTGTTTGTCAGTTAGTTGAATTTTTGGCAATATTTCTAGGTGCAACAACAACAGTTGTTGTGGTGCAGCAACTGTTGTTACCGCATTGGCTGGCAGCGCAAATATTTAATTGTGCTTAGCTTTTATTTTGTTTTGTTAATTCTATTACACTAACTATTTTCCGCCCTTTACACGGCACACGCACACACTCACCCACATACACACACACATACGCAGCGTGTTTGGACAACCACAGATGCATCACCTGCAGCTGAGAGCGACCTCGCTCTGCCTGTGGCTTTGCCACACAACAACTAACCCAACTAGCCAGCCCCCTCTCTGCACACGCACACTTATACACTCAGACTTCCTCTTCTCACACTCTCTCTCTCTCTCTCTCTCTCTCACACACACACTTCATTCTTGTTTGTGCTCTCTTTTTGACGCCGTCTCGTATGCCGATTCGCTCAGACTTCCTCTGACTCTGGCAAACGTGGCGCACGGGCTGCAATTTATAACTGCACATACGTGCATACTACAATCTTGCCACGCCCCCTCTTCCCTCGTCAACTCTTTTTTTTTTTTAGCAGCCCACTTTCCAGCACAACGCCAGCAGCACATAAACATTTTTGTTAGCTGCGCTTTAGCTGCACACACGGTGCTTCGCTTTTGTGCCGAGGTGCCAGAGTCCGCGTTCCCGTCCTGCTGCATGTCCTGGAATGAGACCCGTACTCGGACCCGGACTGCTGCTGCTGCTGCTGCTGCTATTATAGTTTTTGTGATCCGCCGAAGCGCAAATAAACAAAAGGTTCGCTTCGTGCAAAAAGCAAAACAAAATGAAATACAACTACGAACGACGTCAAGAACAATAAAAAATAAACAAAAACAAAGCATAAACATTCAACAAAAAAACGTGGGCATGCACGACTACAAGAGCGATATGCTGCCTCTGCAAGTGAGAAATTGACACTTGAGAACTGAAGCAAAGAGAAAGCGTTTAAAATTGATTGAGATGGTAATGTAAAACTTTTCCTGCAGAGATGCAAATCAAAGGCAAATTGAAATTTAATTATTAACAATAAAAAAAAGTACAAAAATTTAAAAAGAAATCCGTTTGAGCCAGAAGAGATATTTTATTATTATGTATAATAAATAAAACTTCAAGATATTTTCAATTGTCAGAGAGCAAGATATGTAATAATACAATGAGAATGAACTGGAGCTAGGAAATCATGAAGGAAAGGTTTCCTGGGCTCTTCAATAAACCAATCTCAAAAGAGTAGTACTACTCAAATGTCAACTGAGTTATAAGACATACAAATAGAAATATAAATATAAATATAAATATAAATATAAATATAAATATAAATATAAATA